TAAAAGTTTAAGTCTGTTTTGGGTAGAAGGTGAAAATTTTCGAAGTGAAATATTAAGATGTAAAGTTTTAAGGGCGTAAATGCTTGTTAAAGGGGGAGTTTTAATTATGTTTCCTGGTGGTTGAATATTGATGGTTTAGATTAATTTACACAAAATTTTTGTAACCAAAAAAAAAAAAAAAAAAAAGAATAACATGAATACTTCTTGTACGATATCGTCCTTTTTGAATTACTCGACGATCAAGCACAGCTTCAGGTTGAGGGAGAATTACAGAATCATCTGTGACTGGTGGAAGTTCAGCTGAAATTAGAGGGATTGGTGTTCCCGGATGCTTCCGTAAAAGACTAACATGAATTGTGTCATGAATTTGAGAACCAGGAGGCAAGGCTAACTTATATGCCACTGGGCCCACCCTTTGAATAATCTGGTAAGTACGACGTAACTCCAATTTCAGCTGATCGTCGAGTAACTAACATGAATTGTGTCATGAATTTTGAAAGCTTTTAAGAAATAAAAAAATTCTTAAACAAGGCAATTTCGAAATTGCCATGGCTTTTTTTTTTGTAATAAATTAAAATTTTGAAATTTTTTTAAGTTACAATTTCCAAAATTTTAAGAAATAATTTTTTTTGACATTTCTAAAAATTTTAAAATAATTTTTTGACACAAAAAAAAAAAGAAAAGAAAAAGAAAAATGGATATCTTTATCTCTTTTCACGTCGAATATTATTGAATGTAATTCTAATCAATCAACCATTAATCTATAAACATGTGGTCTACATTTTTCAATTCTAATCGCAATGGCCAAAGAATGTCTTTTCAAAAAATATAATGATTCCAAAATGAAATAATTAAAATTGACTATAATGTGTTACAGAGCATGTACCTTGGTACACACAAATCTTAGTCGAAGGCAGTTCTTTTCCGTCTTTCATTTCAATATTTTCAGTGGATCATACAAAACATGCAAGGACAATAAAATGATAGTAAAAATTTAACTTCTCAAAATTCAAGTAATCTAAGAGAATAAAGCTAATTATGAAATTTTCACTATTTAAATAATCACCTTATCTGAGATTTCTTATGAATTTTCAATGATAAACATAACATAATAAACTAAAAATCAAAGAGTTGACTCAATATTTAAAAAAAAATTACTGTATTTTTTTTAAAAAAACATTTTGGATTCATAGTTTAAAATTAACGTTAAAAAAATTATTAAATTTATCTGAATATATTAGACTAGTATTTTTAAAATTCGCTCTTATAATCACTAAAAATATACGAAATTTCAATAAACATGCAAGCTCGTTTGAAAGTATTTTATCATAAAAAAAACATTTTAAAGAATTTTAGTGAAAAGGAGTTAGTTGTCTTCCTTCGCTCCCCCCCCCCCCCCCCAAAAAAAAAAAAAAAAATTTCTACTTGTTGATTTTCCTAATACAAATTATGAAGTTACTTTACTGTATATTTTTAACTCTAATTGAGGGGATAAGTCGGCCCTCCAATGATATTGAAAAATAAAAAACTACCATGGAAATGTGTTAAAAATTTGCTCTGTAAAAGGAAAAATACATTGAATAGGAAAATCATGTGATTTATACATGATATATTTTAATTTAAAAATACCTTATACTTTAAATAAGGTAAATAGTTCATCTGTCCTTTAAAATTCGTAATTTTTACGAGTTTTTATTTCATCTTTCAAAAACAAATGAGGCATCTTTACGGATTGAGTTCTTTATATTCAATACACGTGTAAATATTAAATGAATAAATATTAGTGAATTCTCAATTAATTTAAAAACAAACTTTCAGGTATAGGACATAATGTATTGCCTTGCACTTTCGGATGTTAGATAATGCAATAGCACTCTCAGCTACGTGCGTTACATTTCACATTGCCTATTAATTTCATCATTCATTTGCTGATTAATTTCATCATTCATTTGTGTCTCATCATATTGACCAATTATCTCAAAAACATCACATAACAACCCCACCATGTGATCTGATTGTTGTGGATTCACTTCAATAGAAGTGGGTTCCTGAACATAACTCACTCTTTGTACATGTGAGATATGAATAGAAGACGATGACCCAATATTACTAATAAAAGAACTATCTTCATGGAAAAAAAAAACCCACTTAGTGTACCCCTTTTAAAAAGCCATCACAAAGTAAGTGAGTTCTTGTATCTTCATAAGTTTTCAAAGAAGAATTAGCATATGGAATGCAAGAACAGAAAATTCTTTCACCATAAAATGTATTACAAAATGATAGTTCAAGAAATTCATCAACTCTTTTTTATATTCAACATTGGTTCTAGTCAATTGGTATAAAAGAACAATGTTCCTCTTTGGGTATTGTTGCTTGCTAGTACAACATCAGTCAATTGGTATATTTCACTCGCACCTTTAATTCTCACGACCTGAGTGAAAACCATTCAAATTAGCCATGTTCAATAATAGAAAACAAAACATATTACAAGCAACCAATGAACACAAAACTATCTCGGATGAGTTTTTGGACAATGTTAGTAACTATCATTAACTATAAAAAACACTAAAACAAAATGAGTTTTTACTATTCATAATACTATTCACATACTCATAAATTACTATTCCTTTCACTATTCATGATTTTTTTTTTTTTTATACTTTGATCCTTAATTTTCTATATATATATATTTTCAATTTCAAGCTTCAATTGTATTATGATTTGATCCCGTTTTATTTTAATATTTTTTGTTAATTATCTATATTATTTAAAATTTACTACTTTAGTTTTTTATTTTAAAAAAAATTCTCATCAAATTAATTTAAAATTATATTTACTGATAATTTTAATATATATATATATATATATATATATATATATATATATATATATATATTTTGGAATAAATTTTTAGAACATGATTATTTTTTCTTTTGAAAAATAGATTTATAATTTTTAAATTACGGTGACATGATTAATATATATAATTTGGTTGAAATACATTTTTAGATTAAAAGTGTATTTCAAATAATTTTTTTAATTTTTTAGAAAAAACTCAAATTAGTTAATTAATAATTGAAAGTCAAATGTGAAAAACAAAAAAAGAGACGAGTTGCTCTACGCGTGAGGTTTATATTCAAGAACTAGTCATGTATAGTATGAAAATAAAAAATTATCTAAGAAGAAGGAAAAAAAAAAGAAAAGAAAAAGAATTCACGTGTTTTATTTGTTTCTTCTTTACATAATAAAAATTTATTGAAATCAATTTTGTAATAATTTTTATTTTAGTCTATTAACTTCAAGTTTAGTAAATATATTCCTTGTAAGTTAACTTTTTCTTTTTTTAGTGTTTTTTGTTTTATACCGAAAACTCTAAACCCACTTAGTATAGTTATGATATATAAAAAAATATTGAATCGTTATTTTTTTATAAATTAACTATGCAACTACTACTATACTAAGAATTTACTATTTATTTATTTATTTATTTTTGAATATTTTAAAATTAATTTATTTTAAATTAAATAATTAAAATTATATTTTGGCTTAACCTCTCAATGATTCAAATTAATATAGTTTTTTATTTTACTATTATTCTTTTTTTGTGAATAAATATATAAAAATTAAATTCCTATTCTTTCAAAAACCGATATTCTCATCAACATTAAATAAAAATAAAAAATTATTTTTATTTGTTTAATTCTATGTAAGTTTTTATTAATTGTTATTTTAGTTTTTCGACATAATCTTATGAAATACTAAAGCTTTTTAAAAAATTTTATTTAATTTTTTTAGTTAATAATCTATGAATTAAAAAGAATTAATCCTTTTTCTAACGGAAAAATCATGAAAACACAAATAAGAAATAGTTCAATACAAAATTTTGATTAAAAAATTATAAATAATTTTTTTTACCTTTGATTTCATATATTTTTATACATTCATACCATAATACATATTATCAAATTGAAATGATTTTATTAAAAATAATTTTATATATTTTATCCAATCCGCAGCGTAACGCGGGTAAAAAAAAAAAAAAATTAGTTAGTTTCTATAAAATTATTTTTTATACATGCTTGGTCTTACGACTACAATTTATAAGCATCATTAAATAGTTTTCTTATCGCTGGTTATAATCACTCTCATGTTCTAGGACCATCATAGTAGGCAGTAGATAATATCACCCAAAAATAATATTCCCTGCCAAAGCTTTGAATGTTGAAAAAGAGAAAAGAAAAATCTAGTTCTCGCTATTTTGAGCATGGAAATTTTGTTTTATCACAATCAAGTAGCTGAATTCTACCTTAAGATTTTAACACGGCGTACGTGATACTCACATATCAATTCATCATCTTTGGTCGTCAATCCACATGCACTTAGAACAAATATCTTGCATATGAAGCTTGTAAATACTGACAAATTGAACAAAGTATTTGCGTACTTCATCATTTGGAAAAGCACAAACAACTTCTGAAGTGAAAAATAATACAAAAAAAAAAGGAGAAATTTTATTATTCTTAACTTATTCTCACTATAATATTTGAGACTCCTACAACAAAATTACCTTTTAGCCAAAAAGGAAAGCAAATTAAAACCTAGATTAAAAAAATGCACAAAAAAAGTTCATCTGGCTGATTATCTAACCATGGACTAGCAAAACTTATAGTTAAAAAAAAAAAAAAAACCTAAAAATACAAGCCTTTTAGAATTGTTGATGCTATAAATTCAGGTTGAGAATGAGGATGGAGAGATGTTGCTACTCTAATTAACCAGGTAAATTTCTCTCTCTCTCTCTCTCTCTCTCTCTCTCTTTTATTTTTGGATTTTTTTTCTTTGTTTCTCTTACTATCAGTTTCCCCTTTCTATTTTTTTTGTTTGATTTCTTTTAATTTTTTAAACTCCCTTTCTCTATTCATCCCTTCTCTTTTTTTTTTTTTCACTGCCCCTTTTTTTTTTGTGAACTCAATTAATTAAGAGACCAATCCCTCTTTCACCTCATGTTTGCTGCTACTGCCTCTTATATCTTTGATTATGTTGGTTTCACTTCTTATGTTGAGTGGAATTTGTTTTTGCAGGTATGGTGTGAGGTGATATTAGTTTGACAGCAGTAGGGTGAGATGCTATAGGGTGATGGAGGCGGGCTGCAAATTGCAGCATGGAGGTTGACTTTGGTGTGGGAGTAGGGGAAGGTTGCAATTTGTAGCATGGTAAGGGGCCATGAAGGCTGCTGGACAATTGCTGTAAGTTGCAGCATGGTGAGGCTTCGAAAATTAGGGGATTTGTCTGGGGTTGCTGTAGAAGTTGTAGCAGTAGGGTGATATGGGCTGCATGAATGGACTTGGTAAGTTGTTGTAGAAAGGTTGGTAGGGATTGATATAGTGGGAGTTGACATGAGGTAGTCCATCGCTGTAGGCTACATTTGTGGTGGCTTGCAGCAGGGGATAATTTGGGAATGTAGAGGGACTTGACAAGTTGTTGCTAGAGTAGGAAAAGTAGCACAACCCCTCCATCTCAATTTTGCATTTTTTTTTTTTGTATTTTTGTATTTTTTCTTGTATTGAAATCTAATACTTTTTTTTTTTGGTTTAAGAAAACAACATGAACTAAATAATAAAAAAAGGGATAAAAATAAAATACTAGAAAATTTTAGGGTATGACAAGTGTCAATGAAATTAAAGGAGGAATTCGTAGCCAGATGTTCAGAGTATGGTGTTTGACAGGAGATGCTGATCAATATTTGCTTAGGTAATGGCTGCCACCTCATGCCACTTTTGGGCATACCCATTTTTATACTCTATAGGTCTGATCAATTTGGAGTAACCTCTCTATTAAATTTGTTCTGTTGGATGAAAACATCGACTAGATCTCTTTATTTTTTATTTATTTTGACACCATCCAATCTCATCTACCAGCTCAAAGTTGATCAATGTAGACTCTTGCAAAAGAAGTGTATCAGTAGCTTTTCACAACTTCGGCCATCTTGCTATCATACACTCATAAGTGAGTCATTACACATTAGGGGCCCATGTACTTGATGAATTTAGGAACTCTAAATTTTGTAAGAATTGCAATATTTGATATTGTGCCCACTTCAGCAACTCACACCTACTCATGCATATCAGTGCCTTTGATAGCCCTGAGGTATTCTTCGGTTGCTAATAGCTTGTCTAAACCAAACTCTTCTATTACCTTAGCCCTATGAAAGGTGTTTATACTTTTGTCTGTGGGAGGTGATCGTATCGGTGTAATTTCAATGTTAGTAGGAGGGGAATGGTATGGCAATAAGGTTCAAGACTGAGATGGGCGACGGGGTAGCAGTTGATGATGTTGAGGGAAATGGCCATGGTGGTCTTGTGGCTTGATTGTGCAGGAAAAATATGGTGTGGTGGTGGCTGACTTTTTGGCATTTTCTAAACAAAAGGGTGCTGCTACATATACTTGAACTTGAACAGAGGAGATAGATGAGGGATGCGTGGCTGGCAGCTAGGTAGGAAAGGTGCGGTTTGTTTGGCTAAGGTGAGGATGGAGATGGAGGTGTAAGGAGGCTATTGTGTTTGTGGAGTTAAGCAGTTGTAGGTGAGCATGTGGAATGAGGTTATGTTTGTGGCTTGTTTTATAGGGGTTTTGAATGGTGGGAGTGTACAGGTCTGTTGTTGGTGGTCTTGGGGATGGTTTGGGATGAACATGGTGTAGATGGTCTTGGGGTTTTGGAGAAGGATAAAACAGGGGTTCTTTATGGGGAGGCTAGTGAAGGAAGAAGGACAATAGCAAGGGCTGTTACGGTAGTGGGTTGTAAAGGTTTCTGTGGCCACTGTGTTGACAGTGGCTAACGACGAAGAGGTGGATTTTTGATGGAGGGTTTATGGAGAGGAGATGTCTGTGATAGCGGGTGAAGAGGATATCAGATTCATCTTTGTTACAGTGTAGTGGCTGTCAAACTTTTATTTTCTTTGGAAGATGGAGAATGGTTAGTTGTTTTTTTGTTGTTGTTGTTGGGGGGGGGGGGGGGGGGGTTGGGGGGAGGATATTGTGGAGGCTAAAAATAAGCGGAGAGGCTTGTTTATATAAGGGATTTTTACGATTGAGCGGATGAGTCATCTTCTCTATTTTTTTTTAATTCTATATTTTATATATACTTTTGTTTGTATTCTTATTTTTTTCATTTATTTTTGTTTTTTTTAGTAAATTTTAAAATAAAGTAAAATGAGATAAAATAAGAAAGAAAGAAACAAATAAATAAATAAAATAAAATAAATTTTAGGTAATGACAATTTGCGTGCTGGATGGAGATGCAAGGCCACTTTCTATTATATCTCATGCCTCTCAGGAGGTAGTATAATCAATTACCTAGGCAAAATTTCGGTTGACAAAACAGAGATGATAGTGCTCATGGAGAGCTAATCTTGGATTCAATAAGACCAGAACGGGGCAACAATATAACTAAAAAGACCTTTGACTATTAAAAAAGATTGCATCTAAGCGCACTAAAATAAATATTTTTAGGAGGTTAGTTTAAGAGAAATAAAGCGATGTTATACAAGATATATTGTAAATAATAATACAAAAATAGCAAAATATAACTCTTCATATTATATTTAGAGAATAAACACAGAGAACTGACTTAACTGTATTTCCAACCATTTTTGTTTAGAAGAGTTTGTGGATGATGCTAAGAAACTTTTGGAAATTAATTAGCTAAGAGATAACGATGCAATGCAATGAGAAAAATGGAGGCATGAAGATATGATATTATTATATTCTTTTGTCAAACCAATAGGTCATTGCCATTTTTATCCCTATAAGAAAATCATCTTAATTTTAAAATTTAAATTACTATTTATATTATTTTCTAATATACTTCAAGATAATTTTAAATTAGAAGATAATGTAGGGTTTCTAATATACTTCAAGATAATTTTAAATTAGAAGATAACATAAGGTTGGTGAAATTAGAACTTCATAACTATTTGATTATTAAAATTCTAATACTATATTAAGTTAGATAATTGAATTTAGAGTTTATTCAAAAACTTAAATCTTATAGTAAAAAAAATTATTGTCAACTCTATATATTATTTATCTATTTCATGTAAAATTGGTTATCTAACTATTTTAATTCTACAAGACAATATCTGGTCTGGTAGTTAGGAGTGGACATATAATTTCTTTCTTTATGGAGGTCATGGCAGGTTCTAACTAATATAACCAACTTTTATATATATATATATATATATATATATATATATATATAATTGTAACATCAGCTGATCGATTTTCATAAAAGAAAAGGACACAAAAATCAAAACTTTTCTTTTGTACGTATTTAATTGCATGATGTTAGCTGGACTCCTTATCATAACACAATTCCACCTCTACTGGAGACAAACCAGGATTGCCCAAACACATGCTGCTGCTGGAGATAAACACGCCACTGGAGATAAGGCACGGTACTGCTGCTAGAGATAAAGACACTGCTGGACACGCTACTGGAGATAAGGCACAACTTCCCCATAGACTCATACTTTTAATGATACTTCCATGTAATGTACGGACTTATAGTTTAGTTATACTTCTACTATGCATAAATAGATACTGTAGCACGGCAGAATGTAATCAATTGACAGAGAAAAAACCTTTTAAATCAAAATCTCATCATGGTATTAGAGCCTATGGCCAACCAAATTGTTCCCGTATCTTCTACTTCAACCACCTCTACCTCAGCTCCTACTACCACTTACAGCTTTGCTATTAAACTCAACCTACAAAATTATCTTGCTTGGAAAACCCAGTTTGCTCCTCTTCTTAATTACCGTGGCATGAATAACTTAATTGATGGCTCATCTGCTCCACTTGCAACAAAACCTTCAACCACAAATTCAAATGAAATTTCTATTAATCCAGATTATACACAATGGTTTAAAAGAGACCAACTGTTGCTTTCATGGATTTTGTCATCTCTATCTAAAGAGGTTTATTCATACATTATTGGTTGCAATACATCGTTTGCAGCATGAAAAGCACTAAAAAGTGCTTTTGGTTCTGTATCTCAAAACCATCAACTTCAACTTTATGTAGAACTTCAAGAGTGGAAAAGGAATGATCTCGGTATTTCTCAATACCTTCAAAAGGCAAAATCATTGGCCGATGAGTTAGTCGTCGCTCGAAGATCAATTTCACCGACCGAATTTAATGCAATTGTTTATTTCAATATTGGTATTGAATTTCATCCTATTGTTTCTATTTTAAATTTATGTTATGATCCAGTTTCTTTTAATGAGCTACATAGCCAACTTCTTTCCCATGAGATTTTGTTGAAAAGCTATCAAGCTTCTCCCATGGCAAATATTGCCATTAGGCTAACCTTTCACCAATCACCAAGGCCGACTTCCATCGCTAATCAAGGTCATAATTTTTGGCCTTGGAAAAAAAACAAAAGAAAGTGCCAAATATGTGGTTATCATAACCGGACTACCGATGCATGTCGACAACGAGTATGCTCCTACTCGCCCACAAGCATATATTGCATGGCAATCTACTAATGCTTCATCGCCATATCAAAGATATCCTACATATCCGCTCGCTTCACCAAATCAGAACATGATTGCTCCCCCATACCAAGCATGGTTTCCGATACAGGTGCAACACATCACATGACACCAAATCTTCAAATAATAGTTGATCCACAAGCATACAATGGAGGGGATCAAGTCACAATTGGTAATGGACAATCAACCGTCAATCTCTCATACCGGTATGGATTTTCATCCTTCCATTAAAAATACTAAATTGATGCTTAAGGATGTTCTTCATGTTCCCTCTTTATCTAAACCATTGTTATCCGTTCAACAGCTTTACCAAATACAATAATTGTTATTTTGAATTTCATCCTTCTTATTTTTTGGTTAAGGATCGACGTAACAAGGAAATCCTATTGCAAGGCGGGAGTAATGCGAGCCTATATGAACTTAATCCTAGCAAGCCTCAAGCCTTTTTGAATGAATATGCATCTTTCTAAACGTGACATGCTAGGCTAGGTCATCCGCGGGTGTAGAAAGTTTCTAGAATAATTACCGATAATAAATTACCTACATCAAGTCCTTTAAACCATTCTTTAGTTTGTTCCTCATGTAAGCTAGGAAAAATAGCAAAGTTGCCTTTTGCATCTGTTGAGCATACTAGTTGTAACCCTTTTGAAATCATCCATTTCGATGTCGAGGGTCCAACTCCTATGCTTAGCAATTTAGGTTTTAAATATTTTAGTTTATTTATTGATGACTATTCTCGTTTTATTTGAATTTTTCCATTAAAGAATAAGAGTGAAGTTTTTACTATTTTCAAAAATTTTGAGTCTTATGTAAAATTACAATTTAATTTGGACACAAAAGCTTTTCATTCGGATTGGGGAGGAGAGTTTCAAAAACTAAATTCGTATTTTAAAGAAGAACACATAACTCATTGGGTTGCATGTCCTTATATGCATGAACAAAATGGGTTATCCGAAAGAAAAATTAGGCATATCGTTGACATAGGATTGACACTCGCTTGCCCATGCGTCAATTCCCTTTAGATATTGGTATTATGCTTTTGTCAATGCCATAAGTGCTATTAACAATCTACCTAGTACAAGTCTAAAACAAAAAGTACCCTACGAATTTTTATATCACAAGCAGACGGACTACCTAGAAAGCAAGACCTTTGGTTATGCAATTTATCCCTACCTTAGACCATATAACAAAAACAAGTTCAACTTTAGAAGCAAAGAATGCATGTTTTTGAGAAAGTATCCACATCGAGTGTGGTTATTTTTGTCTGGACATTGACCAAGATAAAGTCTATGTGGTTAGGCATATATCATTTAATGAAAATCTATTTCCCTTTAAAACACGTAATCTGTCTCCTTCTCCTCCTCCGGACACGGCGCTCCCCTAGTTAGTCATGCGAGTCCCACCCAACTCGGCTTTGCAATCGTGTACATCTCCCTCTTTTACTCTATCTCTCGTTTTCTACTATGTCTCCTTCTCCTACCTCACCTCATCCAAGTATCTCCACCCTCACCCTTATCTCAACAACCCGTAGCTCACGCCTTACCTACTTTCACACCACTTTCCTCCAGTTCATCACCTCATCCTCTTACAACCGAAACTCTTCCACCTACCTCTCCTTCGCCAACCATAACATCTCCCGGCCTAGACCTTATTGTAGACTTAACCAAATACTCCTCTCAACTCGATACCAACAATCCAAACCCCAATCAAACACATTCCAAGGTATTAAGATCCAATACTATGAGCAAATGAGAAACATACCTCTCTTCCAAACAGAACTTGAAAATAGACTTTCTTAACATCGAACCATCCACCTTTCATCAAGCTAGTAAATTTAGTGAATGGACAAAGACTATGTTAGAAGAGATTAATGCATTATTGTCAAATAACACTTGGGAATTGGTTCCCAAACTTTTGAATGCTAATGTGGTTTCAAATAAGTGGGTGTACGGGATTAAAACAAAGTAGGATGGTTCGATTGATCGGTATAAGGCATGGCTCGTGGCGAAAGGCTTTACACAACAAGAGGGTGTTGCCTACAAGGAGACATTTAGTTGGGTAGTAAAGGCTACAACAATAAGAACGATTCTTGCACTTACCAATATGCATGAATGACCAATCCAGATGACTTGACATATCAAATGCATTCCTTCATGGGCATTTGAAGGGGACGATCTATATGACTCAACCCACTAGATTTACATATGAACAAAGGCCTAGCTTTGTGTGTCGATTGAACCGATCTCTCTATGGATTAAAGCAAGCTCTACGAGCTTGGTTTTCAA